TTAGCTAATAAAAATAAAAGCTAAGTTTGCAATAAATAAAGAGGCAATTAGCATTAAAGGGGCTTAATTCTTTTATATATTTTAATTAATTGGGAACTTTCTGCAATTAATTTCTACTCTATATTAATTTTATAAAGATATTTAAGGGGCAGCTAAAAAGCTTTCTAGAAAGGGTTTGCTTTGCGCTTAGGAATCCTTTTAAGCAAAGACATGCTAAGCTTAGCTTAGTTATGCTATAGCAATGCTATAGGGAGGGGATAATAAATTTTCTTGCTTACTTTAATTAGCTTTCTTATATAGCTAGGGCCTAAGCTTAGCTAAATAATTGCAAAATATTATTTATGGCTAATAAACTTACCGCCTTAGCAAAGTTAAGACTTAATTACAAAGAGTAATTAAAAATATTTAAGGCATTTTGCTTTACCTTGCAATAATATAAGGGCGTTTTTAGCGCTATAATAGCGAAGGATAACACTTAACCTTAAAATAGCGAAGTAATAAATATTAATATTACGGCGGTTTTAGCAAGGGGAGTTAAGTATTATGCTTATAGCTAGCTTAGTTATTATAAGCATAATTGCTTAAACCACTGCAGAAGAACCCATATATAGCTATTATTAATTGGGCCTAATAAAAGGAAGGCGCTTAATTAAAGTTATTTTTAGCGCGCAAATTTTTTTCTATAAAATAGGGCCTAAAGCAATGCCGGCTTAATGCCGGCCTAGGCCTAAAGCGAGCTAGCTAGTGCTAACTAGTTTGGCGCTATGGAATTTTTAAGGCCTAAGAACTTTCCGCTAATAAAGCAGATTATTTGCAATTAAATGCTAATTAATTATAAGTTATATAATAAATCCACGGCCTTAAGGCTTTGGGTAAGGGAGCTTATATAAAAGGCATGGATTGGAAAATCTTAAAAATGCTGCTAGCTTAGCCATTAGCTTGCGCTTAAATGATTATTTCTTATTAGCTTGCTTTAATTAACATATTAAATTATAAGGTATGGAAAGGATGAAAATATATATATAATATAAGCCGGCCTAGTAGCGCAATTAAAGCGCCGCGGATTAATTAAATAGCTAGGCAAAAGGCAATATTTAATTTGCAATTAAAGTAGTGCCTCCTTTATTTTTTATTACATAGTTAACCCCTTGGGAAGGCCCCTTTATGGCTTTAATTTAAGGAAAGGGGATATGTTATAATTTAGGCTTATGCCTATAATAATTAGTTAGCGGGCTTTAGCCCTATAAGAATAGGCTTTAACGTGGGTGCAGATAAGAAGTAAACCTTCTCCTTTGCACTTTAAATATTAACTCCATTTAAGCACCTTTATTCTGCGAGTTTAAGGCCAGCCCATAATATGCAACCCCCTTTAAGATTTATATATAGTTTATAATAAAGTTCCTCTTAGCCTATATTCTTCTTTATACTTATATAAATTTCATAGCTAATATTAAAAGACTTAAATTTCACTTTATTATAAGTTTAAGAAATAATTCTACTCCCTTTAAACTTTTATTATACTTATCTTATAAGAAGGAATATAAATTTATATTACTTATAAAAACTTTCTTTTCCTAGCTTAAGGGTATTTATAAAAAGACATAAATTAAAGTATTTTACTTTTTATTATAATATTGCTATAAGATATAAATAAAGTAAAATAATATATTATAATTATCTCCCTAAAGAGTAATGTTAGCTTAATCCATCCTTATATTAGCCTTTTAAGTTCCTTTTAATATTTATTTTAAAATATATAATATAGCTTTACTTTCTTTTTATTATATTATATAATATTATCCCCCTTTAAAGTAATATAGGGTCTTTATATCTTTTTTAAAACTTATTTCTTAGGTTGCAATAATATTAAAGCGCTTTATATAATAATGTATTTTTATTATATTTTTATATTTTATTTATTAATTTTATATAATAACTTTTAATATTAAATAAGGGGTATAATAATAATTTTTAAATTTTATTATATTACTTAGGTAGTTTTACTGCTAGGGCGTTAAGTGGTTACTTAAAGTATATTATAAATATTTTGGTTTTTTAAGTTAAATGCTTAGGGTTTATAGCTTTGCTTATTAAAGATAATTAAAGGGAAAGTAGGCTTAGCTTAGTTAAATGCATTAAAAAATGCACTTCTTTATATTAACTTCTTAATATTTATAAAAGTTATAGGTTTGCTTTAATATGCAAGCTTTGCATAATATATTTACTTATTTACTTTTAAATATTATTTTTATTTATAAGATATATATTATCTTTTATAATTAATATATTTTTATGCTATATTATTAATATAAATAGGGTATATTACTTTCTTACTAAAGTGCTTTTTTTTAATATAATAATTATATTTTAATAATGCCTTATAAAACTTTGCCTTATATCTTTATTTATATTAATTAAAGCATTGCTATAGCTTAATGCTATCTTTAAAGGGCTTATAATTAAATATATATTCTTTTTATAATACCTTAAGATTATATAACCTTTTAGCATTATTTAGCTACTTAATTTTAGCAATTATATAATAAGTTTATGCCATAGCGATATTATATTAAAAGAAAATGCAAATTTTTATTATTGCTACTTTATTTACTTACTTTAAATATTTCTTAAAAATCTTAACTAAGTTTTTCTTTGCAAAGGTTATAAGGATTTCCTTAAGAATAATTATATAAGTTTTTTAAAATATTTTAACTTTTTCTTTAATAGCTTATAGCTATTTTATATTTTATAAATGCTAATTTCTTTTTTTATTTATCTTAAATATTAATAAATAAGCATTATTCTTATATACCCTTATTGTAATTACTTTATAAGTTTGCTTTATATATATATTAATTATTTAAATTATCTTTAATAAACTTTATTTTTAAAGTTTAATAAGTTAATATTTAACCTTAATTATAATTTACCTTTAATATTTAATTAAGATAACTTTTGCTAAAGGAATAACTAATAGGCTATTAAGGCTTTTCTTTAAAGCTGTTATATATTTAAAGCTGCTATTTTAATTATTAATAAGAATTATTTAAATGGCCTTAATAACCTTTTTTTATAAGTTAGCTTATATAATTAATTTATTAAAGTATTTTATTTTATAATTCTTTGCTTAATTATTATAATATATTATTATAATTGCTAAGATTTAATAAAGAGTTTTTATTTAATTCTTATTAAAATTATCTTAAGTTCCTTTTTTAAAGATTTTAAGTATAAGCTTATTAAAAACTTTATTATATTTTATCTTTCTTATTTAATACTTTATATTAACCTTATTTTTATTTTATTAATTATTTACTTTAATATTATAAGCTTTTTTTTTATAATATTTATAATAATAGCTTTATGTTAAGCTAGCATTGCCTTTATTTATTATTATTAAGATTGCCTTTGCATTATTATTATAAGAGTTTATAGCTATTGCAATAGGGTTAAATTAATTACGCTAAGATAGATTTTGTTATTAAAATATAGTTTTAAGGTATTATGTGGGTAGCAAGGCGGATTTTAGGTAAAACCGGCTTTTTAAAAATTGGTTGGAACTTAAATAACTTTATAGTAAATACTTATAAATATAAATATAAGTTATATATATATATATAAATATAAATATAAATATAAATATTAAAAAAATGTAAATATAAATATAGATATAAATATAGTATTTTGTATTTTTAGAGATATAAATATAAGATACAAAAATATAATTACAACTCTGCCCCTATATTAAGAGTTAATATAATGTCAATTCTTAACATTATGTCACAGCATATCAAGAATGACTACATATCAGTAATATGTAAATAATGCAATGTATATAAAAAAAAAGCATATCAGAACCTTGATTGCGTGTCACTATTATGTCGCTATTACATTGACATAGTAGTGCGATGTTGACGGAAACCCCCCCTCCGTAGGTGTATTTCAAATTGAACTCAGTGAATAATATATCAACCCTACGATCGACATTGGGGATTCTGATGTCACAAAGGTCAAATGCCACTACCCTGGAAACGTTTGACCTTAAGTATTTTTATCTCTATCAGAGGAAGTCGGGCGTCACATCTAGGAACACCACACTTGAAAAATCTCAGAATACCTATCAAAACATACACATAAGTCTAGGGGTCCACATTCGGGCCACCCCCCCATTTGGGCCACTTTTTACACCAAAACCACTATTATCTAACTCCATTAATTAAATAGAGAGAAATTTTAAATTCGGCCTATATATAGAGATTATATATTAAAGTAATTAAAATAAATTTAAATTTTATAAGTAATTTCTTTAATACTTTAAAAAATATATAAAGTTATTAAAGTTAAATAATTTTAAGATTTATATTTAAATAAATTTATAATTTTAATATATAAAAGTAAGTATATATTTATATCTTCTTATATTATATTAAAATTAAAATAAATCTATAATTAATATAATTATTATAATATTTTAATTTAAGTTTAAAATAAGAATTAATTTATATATAATTTATAATATTATATAAAATAAATTTATAAAATTTAAAATAATATTATTTTTATAAGTCTTTTATATATATTAAAGTTGCATTAAAAGCTTTTAAGTTAAAAGATTTTATTTAACATTAAAAATAAAATTAAGTATTTCTTTATATAAATTTTTATTAAGAAAATTATACTTTATAATATAATATTATATATATATTTAATATAATTATTGCATATTTATTTTTAATATATAATATATAAATATAATATAAATAAAAATATATTTTAAATTAAAGTAATTTATTTAAATATTTATAAAGATTTATAAAATGTTAAAAAATATTATATAATAAGGTATATTCCTTAATAGCTTACTTTATATAAATGTATATAATTATTAGAATTATATATATATTATTTAAATTTTTTTTATATAGAAAATATAGATATATAGTTATATTAAAATAATTATTATAATAAATATTTAATTAGTGGAGATATAAGTCCTTAAAATGTGGGTTTTTTGGTGTAAAAGGTGGCCCAAATGGGGGGGTGGCCCGAATGTGGACCCCTTGACTTACAACAAGGTCGCCGGTAGCCAGCCATTGGAGCTGGACGTTCATTACCAGGCAGGCGGCTCAAGCACACCCAAGCCAATTGGTTCGTAGCCACCACGAAAGTCGTAGATATTTGGATTCTAATGCGCACTGCAGCTTTCTACTATCATGGTGGCAGTTTCGTCGTTGGCAACAGGAGTATGATCCAGCCCCATTACGTGCAGAAGCTTCTTGAGCTCGGGTTTGGAGCGGTGGTTTCTCCGGACTACAGACTGTCGCCTACAGTCTCCGCCTTCGACGGCGCGGTCACGGACTCGAGGGATGCATATGTCTGATCCCAGAACGAGCTCCCTAAAAAGTTGGCCGAGGAGACTGGCGTGAACTTGGACGGTAGTCGCGTCGTCACATGGGGACATTCTGCAGGAGGCGCGCTCGCTGTACTGATTGTGAGTCCATGATAAAGCCCGAGCATCCGGCGATTGGTTCAATCTTTACTTTCAGGCTGACAATTTTGCAGGCCTCAGTGGCAAAGCCGCCTCGAGCCATCCTAGATCTGTGTGGGCTCAAGTACGTACAGGACGAATCCTTCAAGGCCCATGCTAAGCTTCCTCCACTGGAGCTCCCGAGCGTTGAGTTTAGGAAGAAGATTTATGAGGATGTTCCTCCACCGACCGGAGCGCCGCCTCCGTTCGGTCCTAAGGGTTTTGATGTCACCAGCTATCGTAATGCTTGGCTTTTCGGCACTATGAAAGACGGCCGGCTGTTTGATGAACTTGCTCCTGACGGGAACTACGACAAGATAGACCCAGCAGTACTGCTCACATCCTCTTGTCCCCCAACTTTCTTCGTCCACGGATCGGCCGACACGTCAGTCAGCGTCGAATTATCCAAGCGGGCTCACAAGCAGCTGAAGGAAATCGGAGTGGAAACTGAGCTGGTTGTGGTGGATGGTGCAGGTCATGCCTTTGATATGGGTTCGAAGGCTGGGGATCCAGGATATGAGGCTGTTATCAAAGGCTTGGAGTTCTTGCGAGCACACACTTAGGATTGCGGCACTGTTTCGAGCACAAAATTCCCACTGAAGTCGTCAAGTGGCTAAAGAATTGCTACACCTGCCATTCATCATTCTCAAGCATTCATCCAAAGTTACAGGACGCATTTTTCCGCGGGACAAGACTCATAAGTTGGTCAACAGTAACACCACATGCCATCGTTGGATCTAGGCTCATAATCACGGGCATGCTTTGCGCCTTGCTGGAGGGATGATGAGTACATCCCGGTGACAAGTCCGCACTGTAGATTCGTTGGCGGTTTGCATCTCTTGAACCCGTTGCTTCAAATATCATCTCACAACATGGAAAAGCGAATCAGGCCATAATTAAATGCATATTGTGTATTTATACAATGCTCGGCTTGGCTTCAACGTCGGTCCATGCCTTACCAGGAGATTCGAAAGCAATAAAAGGCTGCTAATGAGAGAAGAAAAATTGCCTTTCGATGGCCCTGGATGGGTCAAACCTTTGTGCTTTATTGTTATCTAAGTTTCGCGCAAAGGATGAAAATGAGTGGCCTATGTAAAAACGATACTGCCGGGGATTTCGGGATTGGCTACACCTGCATCTCCGGGATCGCGAGGAGTGCCTTCCCCCCGGGAAGCAGATTCAGTGTACAGGGTGACCTGAAAAAGATTATCCATGTCGCTACAACTCCCCGGAAAGAATGTAACCAAATCCAACCAATCACAATTTCTAATTTATCCTTTTTATAATTAAACTTAGATTATTATAATAAATTTAAGATATAATGCTATAAAAAAGCTACCTTTTTTATACTTAATTTTGCCTTATGAAGCTAATATTATTATTATGATATGCATAGATAAGATAGGAGAGTTAAGGGATCCCTCGCTGACGCTATTAAAGTCATGAATTAGGCTTCTTTTTTCGGGTCGCCCTGTACACGTCCCTGGCCAGAAGATCTACACGCCGTCCAGCTTCTTCAGATTAGCTTTAACCTCTTCCGCCAAAGCCGCCACATCGATGGCCCCGGGAAGTTTGCCGCCGTTCCATGCCGCGGTGGATTCCGCGGCCCGCAGTACAGCCTCCACCGCCGTTACGGAAATGCCCAATCCCATGGAACCTTTGAGGTGACTTCTGGCCTGTCTCGTGGCCCCCAACGCAGCGATGGCTCCTGCAACTGTGATCTCACAGAGGGGAAGATTCTGCGTGATCTCGGAACCTCCGATAAGGAAACCAAACACGGCTACGTTTGCGACGTATGCTATTTACATTGTTTATGTTAGCTGCTGTAGTTGCCAAGCCCCGCACAAGCGGCATAGCGGAGTCAAGGCACGGAGGAGTCTGCAATGAACTCACATATCTCGGGGAAAAACTCATGTACCATTTGCCCGACCTCAGCATTTCCTACAGCACGGTAAATCGCTCTGTTGGTCTCCTGGCCCTTCTCGAGCCAGCTTGGGTCGGTAAGAGGGGCCCTGGTAAAATGATGTCAAACTCGGACTCCCGCCCGATCGACCTGTGCGCCACGCCGAGAATTCTCTGAACATACCTGTCTAGCTGGCTCGGACCACTTATGCCGAGCTCGCGAAGTTCACCAACCAAGCCCAAGCATGCTGGAATGCACTGGGGCAACCCAGAAAATGCCCAGGTCAGGTTGAGAGCTAGTTTGAAAGACGCGAATAAAGCCTTGGTGTCTTCCACCGTCTTTCCCTTGGCAAGATCCCGGAACAACTTAGGCACAGCGTCACCGCGGCGCTGGGCACAGAGCATCGAAGCCTATGCTCAAAAGTTAGCATGCCTTCGTTTTCATCAGTCGCAAGCTTTTTCGGCGCACAATGATACCAGGTGCAGCTGCGCTGATGCTGCCGCCATCCACATCCTCGAGATGCCGGACAAGGCCACACAATATAGTAGAATTGTAAGCGGCTGCATCCGGTGCTAAGTTGGCATTTGTGTACTTGGAGCTGAAGTCTTCCGTTGCGTGGGAGGCCATGGTGGGATAAGAAGTATGTGGGTAAATTAACTGCGCTTCGTACTACATGGGACGAGAACCACGATGATAAAAGACGCACATTCAATACCCTTGTTGAGGTCGACAATCTCCAATTAGTAATGTCGATTCACATTGAGTTCCCGGTGCCCCGGGACGAAACGCTGACCAGACGCTGCAAGAGCGATCTTTTACCCTGGAAGATGAACGTCTTCGTTCCACGGATGTTAGCTCAGTGAAATTTGCTCGACAAGTCCTTTCTTACAGATATGGAATTGCGCGATCCTATACTCATCCACATTTTGTATACTTCCCATCGGTCAACACGGAAAGTCCACAAAAGAAATGGGAGAAAGCTCAGAAGCACCTGCAAATGACTACCACCGCTATGTACCTCGCAAAGGCAAGTCAAAATGGCAGTATTGGGTCCCTCAATTCTTTTTCTACTCAATAATTGAAGCACGAGTGTGGAATCGTCAGGCTAATAGTGAAGTGTCGCAGAGTGGTCGCGATTCGAAGGCATCGACATCAGCGACCCCTACAAGTACTCAGAAACCATAGTAAACTCTCCACTATTTCAACCACTTTGGGAAAAAGTGGAGAGCGAACCTCGATGCCCCATTTTATGGGATCACAAACGATGGGCGCAAGAGGGAAGGGCTCTATCACCTCCAGGACGAAGGAGCGCCCACAAGCCAGATGGTAACTGAGAACCTAGCTTGCCGTGTTGGAAACCGCGTGCTAACACCTCGAAGACGGAAGCAGCCCACAAGGTGATAGCTTCTCTCAGCAAGAGCGAAAAAGAGGTTGCGTTATGCGACCTGGACACAGAAGGCTGGTGAGTTAGGGAAATCACTAAAGAGACCCTCCGCATTCTATCATGCAAATCGATCGAGCCGACTCCATACTGAATTATGCAGGCGGAAATGGTGCAACCCAGAATTTGTCTTGTTCAATTGTGGTCTCCGCCTGGAGCATATCGATGAGACAAAGGTCGGTTACATCTTGGATCTGGTTAAGCGCTCACTCAGTGGACGCGGCTGGGCCAAATTCAGAGGGGCGATGAAAACAAACAAGTTCCTGGGAGAGATTTGCGCGAGGCAAGCGATACTCAACGAGAAGAGCTACTTGTAAGAAATTGCAACAATTCTCTGCCGTTCGAAGTCACTAACGCTTCGCCAGCTTCACAATATTTGGCCAGCCTTCGGAATCGGAACCGTGGGCTTACATGCTGTTCGGTCACCACCTCTGCCTGAACGTTTTCATTGCCAGGCAACAGATGGTTATCGGCCCCGTGTTTCTTGGCGCCGAACCAAATGTTTGTAATCCATATAACCTGTGTTCCAGAACCCCTTTAGTACTGACGAGCTTCAAGATTATCGACCACGGGCCAGATCAAGGGACTGAACTGTGCGCGGACGAAAGCGGGCTTGGCCTGGAACTGATGCAGTCGCTCCCTCCAGACTTGCAGCGCAAAGCTCAAATATACCCGGCCATGATGGATCCATCCATGCCTGAGGACCGGTGGAACCCAGCCGATCAGGTATGTATTTATGCGCACAGTTGACATATCGGCACGGAGATTGGCTAAGCTTGGTTCCTAGCGACATCTAGCTGGAGCTTTCCAAGACAACCGGGTGATCCCATACGAAGGCGTGTTAGCTACAGACATGACAGCAGAGCAGCAGACATTGCTCATGTCAACCATCGCTGCCTTTTTGGTACTTCTGCCACCAAAGCCACTGAAGTTCCGACTTCAGCAAATCCAAGAGAATTTGTCCGAGACTTACTTCTCCTGGATTGGGGGGTTTGGTCCAGCGGACCCCTTCTACTATCGCATTCACAGCCCAGTGGCTTTGTTCGAGTTTGACCACCACTCGGGAGTGTTTCTTACTAACGAAGAGCCTGCTAAATATCACATTCACACAATTCAGAGGCTTCCGAACGGTAACGATTATGGGCGAGAGTTGAGGGAGCTGCTTAGAGTCCAAGGAAAACGGGATTGAATGTACGCGGTCCAAGCCACCTGATCGGAATCAGCATCTTTGTAGCCTCTGGGTTTTAGCTTGAAGTTTACCAGTGAAGAGGGTCATGCCATCGATCTCCGTCTAAATGATCGGAGATGTTGATATATAATTGTTGTATTTCCGAAATGTTGGAGATTGCCAAGGCGCGTCAGTGTCGCAGAGTGCCGACGTCAAGATCCGCGCGAGGGCCTGGGGACAAGGCAGCCAAGCACAAGCATTGCGTTCCACGTACACAGGGTTCCTCCTTTTTTAGAATGGGATTGCATGTAGTCTACAAAATAAACTGCTGGAGCATTACCCCGCAAAGCTACCTCCGCGATTTACTGGTTAAGGCAAGATAGCTTCGGTCCCTTCGAGCATCCCGGCCGGTTCATACCTTCGGTCGAAGTCCTCGAGTGTCTCAGCTCCACAAATAACCGTATTCCGGTCCATCACTGTTTCCACGAATTCCGACGAGGCAGAAACAACGCAGACGCAACAAGCTACGAACAATGGCCAACACAGCAAATCCCGAAGCCAATAGTATCCAACGAGTAAAGCGAGTCGTTCGGGCATGCGATTACTGCCGTAAGATCCGAGTATGTGCTGATACTCCTTTATTGAATGAACAGAGTCTAACACATCCAGCTCAAATGTACACCGGACCAACGCCCTTGTCTGAACTGTCAGCTTTATCACGTTGAATGTCTCTCAGAGGACAGAGAACGGCGCCCTGCCGCCCGACGTGTTCAGAAGTTCGCTGGGAAACGTGGCCCAGCAATGGTTGGACCGGAGCCTGAGCGCTGCGAAGATGCCATTCAAGCAGTAATTTCTGTGCAAAACCCAGATGCTGACTCCGACACTGGCATGGGCACATCACTTGATTCCGCGATCGACACGAGCTGAATTTTTGACAGCAATCCGCCGGTGTCATCGTGGTCTCCGGATGATTGTTTCGAGAATGGAACCGGACCTGAGCCACATGACTTTGGTAACGTCCTGAGCCAGCTCGGCATAGGGGTGCCTTCCAGCTTCTGGGAGATGGATAGAACGGCATTCACCGATTTGCCTGACATTGATCCCTCCTTCGTAAACATCGCAGGAGACCCAACAAGCATACCACAGCTTTTGGGGAGTGGTGCTCTGAGTGGCCAGACTCCGTTTTCGGATTATATGTCGCCATCCTCCAGGTCAACGGGGAGTCTGACCAACGGCAAGATCTCAAGTATTGAGACGTTGACGAGACGAGTGGATAACTCAGGCTCCCTCCACGGCTCCGAGCCTCCGGCAATATACATTCGCAAGAATGAAACCGCGGGGCACTACGTTGGTCAGTCGGCGATGGCTATCCCACAGAACTCAAGTTGATTACTTACGTTGTGTTGGGGACAGGCTTGAGCTAGATAGGAGCTACGCTGGCCATGTGCCTCACAGACGGCCTCAAGAGCCAGCGCCTTCCACTCAAGCCCAATGGTCTTGACTTTCTCATTGAGGCAGGCCAGCGTGTTGATGAAACAGACCTAGCTTCCTTGCTTGATCTCTCATAACGTGAGTTGCCTGCAAAGGACGCAGCTATCCGTAGCATACAAGGTACTCAAGGTGTCAAAGATGTGACGAGAGTTTTGTAATCAACAGCTGACGATGTCCCAAGCTTATTTCGGCAATGTTAACACGTTCTTTCCGATCATTGACGAGAATTTATTCTTGCCGCGAACCGAGATGTTCTACACTATCGATCGGCCTCAGCTTACTGTCATCGACTACTGTCTTCTCTATCTGACAGTGTCGATAGGTGCACTGACTGAAAAGCGCAACTCGAGAAAACCGGATGTCATGGACCGGCTAGCAGCCACCTCATATTAGCAGGCGTGGGACTTGGTGCAAGGCTCCTTTGCGTCTCCTCGAGAGGCGTCAGTACAGATTCTTTTGCTTCATGTACGTTTTGCGGCAGACGGCCTCCGAATCACACAAATGCTGACCTCTTCCACAGGTTTTATACCATATTCATTCTGGGACGCGTGGGATGGCATGGGTGTTCTGCGGTCTGGCTATTCGTGTCGCTCAATCGCTAGGCCTACACCAGAAAAGCCCACGAGACATGGACTGCCCGGAGCGCCGGGTCTCGCTCCGCTCACGGCTTTGGGTCATTGCATTCCGCTTTGATGCGTACGTTGGCTGGCACATACCCACACAGTCTGGCTCATTATTGACAATAGAATAGCACCCTGTCACTGTCTTTAGGCAGACCTCCCGGAGTCGCGCACGGCTCATTCGACAAAGACATGCTCAACACAGACGCTTTTCTTGAGGCGTCCATGGACGGCGATTCATACTACGGCCCGACCTCTGCGCAGCTCTCTTCTTGGTCCTACAGCTTAAATCAGATTAGCAACCACTTTTGCAACGTGCTGCAGTCCAAGCAATCTGTTGTTTCCAGGCTAGAAGGGATCGCTCAGGTGGACATGCGTCTCGTGGCTTGGAGAGACAGTATTCCGGCGAAAGGTACACGCATGTGCTTCTACTCCATTTGGATTACTCAAACCTACTCCGCGAAGTCCACTTGGCGGCCATAACGATGAGGCCTGCACTCGGTAATAATATCGAGAGGCTTCCTCGGCGCCTTCAGGCAAGCGAGGTACTCTGCCTCGAGGCCGCAAGATCTTTCGTGGAGAGCCTGAACAGGTAAGTCCCTGCCATTGGCCATGCAAATCTACGATTTTATACTAAAGAGACTCTTGCAGCATGGATGATGTCAAAGCAAATAAGGGCCATATTATGAGGTTAGCAGGTCGATCCCCCCAGCTTTGTGTCCCCGTCTGACATACCAAGTGTCCACTCTGAAAATTGCGTTGCGGCAATTGCGGTGCAGTACAGAAGCATTTTGAAAGATCCATCTAACATGTCAACCCGAGGCGATCTGGAATACTTGCGTTCAGGAAAAATACAACTCGATTGGCTTCTGCCTTCAAGTGTACTTGGTCCGTTATCAAAGGCCTTATTCAACTTGAACGACATGGTCTCTTCTGCTGACGACCTGGTATGGAAACAAAACATCCATAACGGACGACGAATGCCGAAAACCAAGGCCTCTTGAGTATCTGAGCCTCTTATTCAAACGGAACGGCTTTAGTGGCTTGCGAAATCTCTGCCTGTGAAAATGAGGGCACTGGAGTTTGATCTTGGCATTGACTATGCTGCGCCAACAGCGGCTCAAGTCGAGGGGATAAGCACAGCGGAAGGGACTGAAACGGAGTTTCCAGTGCTCGTCAATAGTTTTAAAATATCATTACTTCTTTTTATACAAGGAAGTGACTGTCAAGCTCATCCGAAATACCAGCGTTCATCTGCAGGTAACAACAATTTGCTGAGAGGTCACAGCGAGCCGGAGGATGACTGGTGAAACCTCCGGTAGCCTAGCCACAGATGTTGAAGGATTCTCGAGATTTGAACTGTGTCTCACGAGTCGTTGATTTTAAGAAAAGTTCGCCCCAGGTACGAGAAGAACTTTCGCGCCATACAGATGTATACACTGAGCCTCGGTAGTCTAGTACACCGTTGTTTGTCCCCTGTTTACAGCCAGTCAATCTCAATATCTGCCTAGAACAAGCTTGGAGGGTGCCCAATATGCAGAATTGAACTTGATCTCGTCTCTACTGGTGCTGTCCAGATTGTGGAGAGAAGTCCACTAAGCCTATTTCCGTATTGGATAAGTCATTAGGACCGACGTATGATGCCTAGATCCCTTTTCGAATGTTCTACGTTATTTCCAAATAAAATAATGAAATATTTGGTTTCCTGGCCTGAAGAGACGCTATTGCCTCGCCGCACTGTGTCCTCTCGCAATTCCTGAGTCCCATCTCTCGCATGGGTGCGGACTTGTTTCATCCGCCCGGACTCCAACCGTTTGCCCCAAGATACTTCTTGTCTGGTTCTTCGCGCTTCACCAAACTCGTCATACTATCGCCCATAATCAGCAGACAGTGGTGTTCTGGGCCTGTTGTGGCGCTGAAGTGACGCCAAGAAGCGTGCAGAATCGATTCGAGGAATCAGGGACCCTTTCAAGCTTCTTTCCATTGACCTATCCAGATTCGGAATGCAGCCCTCCAATCAACAAGTGGCTTAGCAAACCTTGATCCAACAATTAGTGTCATCGTGTATTTAAACGGACTAGCCTGAGCCTGCGCGGAGAACCTCCCCCCGAGGTCCTCACTATAATGGGCGGCCTTACGGCTTCCGAACTTTGGGGGCTGGATTGCGGTGCTCCCGAACAATAGTATGAACGAACTTCTAATAGAATGTATTTTGTGGGTATAAGTTCAGTCTTCCGCTCTTGCTGTGATGTGTGAGACGACCAAGCCATTCAAAACATCCAACCCTCCTGGAAAGACGGGCACATATTGCCACCATCAAAGATGAGACTGTCGATTTCTTTACTATTGGCTGCTGCTTCGGTAGCGACAGCCCAACAATCTGCGTGGAGTCAATGTACGTCCTGCATACTACTCTAAGTTGTCGAGACTCGAATATTGACATGGTTTAGGTGGCGGGAATGGCTGGACAGGACAGACCTCGTGCGTGTCGGGGTATTACTGCTCAGTTTTGAACCCGTACTACTCTCAATGTGTAAGCAGCTTTCGGAAACAATCAACCCTTTTAAAAAGTAATCTTTCGGATCTGTAGCCTGTATTTACCAGGCTTCAGCTTTTGAGATAGGCTATGGCCACATCTGGCCTATTCCTCCTCACTTCTATGAAACTACTTTCTCATTGCTGTGATAGCTGACTCTAATTGCTGCAGATCCCAGGAAATGAAGGTGGTATGTACTCCCGATTCTTTTCCTTCAGGAACACAACCTCACATTCCTATAGCCACGACAAGTTCTTCGACCACAAGGACTACTTTGTCCACCAGCACCACGCAAAGCACAACAACACCTGGAGCAACCACGACAACTGTCCCTTCTGGGTCCTTCGCAAAGGCCTCGGGCACTTTGTTCAACGTGGACGGAAAGACAGGGTACTTCGCTGGAACGAACTCCTACTGGATCGGCTTCCTGACAAATAACGCTGATGTGGACTTGGTTATGGCCCACCTACAGACTAGCGGCCTCAAGATCCTGCGAGTTTGGGGTTTCAACGATGTGAATAACACCCCGGGCTCTGGAACCGTCTGGTATCAGAGCCTCAGCGGCTCGACTCCTACGATCAATACGGGAGCCAATGGCTTGCAGCGCTTAGACTACGTCGTCAAATCTGCAGAAGCCCACGGCATCAAGTTAATCATCAACTTTGTCAACAACTGGGATGACTATGGAGGAATCAAGGCATACACAAACTGTGAGTCAAGCCTATGGCAGGATTTGCCCACCTTCCGCTTCCTGAATTTCAAAATCATCATAAGGCCCATATTGTCAGAAAATAACTTGCCGGACCCACACCTGATCCTGCTTCGATAATGCAGAGCATGCTAATTAGGGTTGTTGATCAGATTATGGCGGCTCGCACACGACTTGGTACATCAACACTGCCGCACAGGCCCAGTATCGAACATATATCAAGGCCGTCGTCAGCCGCTACATCACAAGCACTGCAATTTTTGCCTGGGAACTAGCCAATGAGCCTCGTTGCTCGGGATGTAGCACTGATGTGATCTACAAGTGGGCTGCAGATACCTCGGCTTACATCAAATCACTTGATTCCAACCATATGGTGACTCTTGGAGATGAGGGTTTCAACCCGTCGGCCGGAGACGGTAGCTATCCTTACCAGACTGGTGAAGGTACGACTCCTATAACGCTCCTCTTGCATTTAACATGCTAACCATGACGCTTACTCAAGGCGTCTCGTTCGTCAAGAATCTCGGTATCTCTACTCTTGATTTCGCAACCTACCACATGTACGCTTCATCCTGGGGTGTTTCCGAGTCGACATTCCCGACGGGTTGGATTCAATCACATGCGGCAGCCTGTGTTACTGCCAAGAAACCATGTCTCTTCGAAGAGTATGGAACAACGAATTCACACTCGATCGAAGCAAACTGGCAGAGCACTAGCTTGAACACCGCAGGCAATGGCGCAGATTTGTTCTGGCAAGATGGTGACAGTCTGAGTACTGGTCAGTCGCCGAATGACGGTTATACGATTTACTACGGGACGAGTGAGTGGAACACGTTGGTTACACAGCACGTGCAAGCTATTCGTGCAAAGTATCCGTAAGGGTGCTCTGCGCGAGGAAGACACCCTTGACGCGCGAAGCTGAACCATTGTGGCGGGATGAACTCATTCAATTTGAATCGCTCTGAGCCGCACTTCACTTATAGCCTCGATAGGCACAGTTCTCCTGAGCTCTCTGGCTCGATACAAACGAGACGAGTTTGATGCAGAGATTCTCATTATCCAAATTGAACTTTTACAATTACATTCATCCATGAAATCATTCGGCCAATCAGTACCCTTGTGTGCCTCGCAGTCGCCAGTGCATCAGCAGACATTCATTCAGGAAGCCCATAGAATGCCGTGACGACTCGACAGAGAACTGGTCTGTAGTGTGAGGCATGAAAACAAAAAGGCACATTCAAGAGTAGTGGGGATGGCGGGTGCCAATGAATGCGTTGCCGTTTCTCCTTACCGAGGTGGAATGCACAATTTGAATGACGTTGATAGGGTTAGGGCCCACAAGCCGGGGGGTGCCTTGCTCGGGCCATGCCGTTTCGCTAGCTCCGTTCTGATCAGCGTTTGTGATCTGATCCATGGGAAAACGGCTGAGACAATGCTGAGTGATGATTACAACACTGGTTACAACACTGGTTACAACGCTGGCACTCATAGCAGAGAAGAACCAGTTTCAACGGTGTTGCACCGTTTCCAGCCGGCAGTTCATCCAAGAGCGCTCCCCCCTGTGGAGAATTCCCACCTCTGTCAGCATCGCCTAATCATGACTACTGAGTGCTTGTTCTAGTGCCTGGTCTAGAAGTCGTCGTAGAAAAGACGAACCGTAGGCGGCGTGAAGGCAAATGTCCACCTTGGCCAAACATCACCAAGGAATTTGACAGCATCTCAAATCAAGACTTTCACCGACACAAGCAAATTCTCGAACCCACTCGCGAGTTACCCTGACCGTGTATATGAAGCGCCTTTTTCTCACCCTCTCGATTTTGGTGGCCTCAATTTCACTCATCATCTACAACTCAACCGCCATCAAGTCGTTGCTCGACAAATACTCACCAATCGAAACCTGCATTTCACTTTCAAAGATTCCCCCCACCGAGCAGGAAATACCCACAGAAGACCTTTCAAAACACATGAACAGCATCAAGTCCGCCATGTCCAAGACTCTGCACCATGCCAAGATTACACCACACAAATCCAGCACTAGGGGTCATAGCGACCACGGCTGGCTGAATACTTATCACAGCTTCAGCTTCGCAGATTGTATGACAGACCCCCTACTCACTGTTCCAAGCAACCATGCTAACATATTTAGGGTACGACCCGCGTTTCTCCCACTTCGGCTCGCTCAGGGTCCTGAACGAAGACCGTGTCAAGGCCCAGAGCGGGTTCCCAACCCACCCTCACCGGGACTTTGAGATCTTCAGCTATATCCTGTCCGGGGAGCTCACGCACCGCGACTCGATGCTCCAGAAGGGCGCCGAGGGTGGGCAATCGGACAAGTTTTATCGTATGCACCGTGGCGATGTGCAATTCACTACAGGAGGCACAGGCATCGCGCACTCTGAGCAGAACGAGCACAGGTCAGAGACGGTGCACTTCCTGCAGATCTGGGCCATCCCTTGGAAGCGTGGCCTCATCCCGCGCTACCATACGAAGCACTTCCCCGAGGAGGAGAAGAGGAAGGGTTTCGTCAATATCCTGAGTCCGTTGAAGGCGGGCGAGGATGCGAGCAAAGCTGAGGAGCAGGAGGCCAAGCCTGCCATCGAGGGGACCATCCCGATCCATGCAGACTTTGTGATGAGCGCTGGTATCATTGCCCCTGAGCAGAGGTTCGAGTGGAAGGTTGGTGCAAACGTCACACAGGCGACCAAGCGCAAGGTCTATATCCATCTACCGATGACAAAGGGTGGTAAAGCCAAGATCAGACTGGATGGCCGGGATGATGCAGTTTTGGAGGAGGGCGATGGCGCTTTTGTTGATTCCGTGAATGCGGGTGATAAGCTCGTAGTTGAGAGCCTGGGGAGTGCTGAAGCGGAGGTCGTGCTGCTGGACACTGCTTAAGATTGAATTCATGTAGCCAGCGGGGCAAAGATATATCATATTCCATGTCAAGGGTTTAAGTCACCAGGAAGAATAGCGGAGACCGAGGGGTTTGCTGAGTGAGTAAGAGGCAACAGTCCAAACGAGAACAAGATAGCGGATATTATCTTTGACTCCATATTCACTTGTTAGTCAATTCGTGACTGGTCTTCACATCGATTCGGATTCTGCTGAAGCTGACGTAAGCTCTCATGAGGTGAAGTGTCTTCCAATGCATCGTGCTTGGGCAATATTCTTTAGTGAACTTGACTCTGGGTCTAATTTCGTTTGGTTGATGGACATGGGTAGTAAAATATTTACTTTTGTTGTGAAGTACTCACACAGAGCCAGTCCGCAACCCACATTGAGGAGCTGTGTACCACATATAAAACAGCATCTCTCATCTGTCCCAAGGACCCAACTCTTCCCTCAGGTCACACATCTTTTGATTTTATCAAACATTTGCTGAACACAACATCCCAGCGATTCTCTCTACACCTAATCTGTACACCATTCCGATCGAGCAACGTGCCCAGGTCTCGACCAATTTTCTTTACTGCAACCCGAAGCTTAGAAGGCCTGAAATATTTGGAAGGGTAGGCATCTGCAGACTCGATGCATGTTCAATAAATGGATGCTGACAATTCGTAGAGTTCCACGTTGTCATCAACACGGCACCTCACCTGCATTATCCACGGAGCTACTCAAAACAACTCCACCCCTCGCAATGGCTGATACACGGCCTTCCCGAGTGGACCAGTGCTTTACAGAGGGCAAACCCAAAGTCACAGTGACATACGAAGTACTCCAAAAGACCGTTTACACGCATCGACGTTGTGATGAAGGCAAAGACTGCCCGGCTTGCAATGATACATACCACCCCGAAGAGCTGCAGCTCCGACCGGACTACTCCTATCGCCGTCATCTGACCGACGGGGAAGCTGAGGATATCTCCACCCAATATGTCTCCCAAATACAAGGAGACAGGAGATACATCTCCGGAAGACTCAAACGCCATGCCGACATCGTCATTTCCCGCTGGACCAAGAATGGAACATATGGGAGCCAACAGAAGCGCGAGGACCTGCTGAGCAAAGTTGCAGCAGAGCTTGCGAAGACGCCAGAGGACATCATTGGCTTCAACTACAGCCAAAAGGAAGTGACCGTCCCAAATCGATCCCTACAGTGCAGACGAATGCTTATGCTGCCTTGGCTGAATGTCGAGGTGCTCAAGACGACACCTGATGCCCTGCTGGCGCTGTTCCACTGCCGGAGCGCTTATGGTCCAAGCGAGTGGGCAGCCTTCGACGGCGAACAGTTCAAGGGGCACTGGTGTTGGGGCTTTTTCGACTGCGACCACTCCTGCAAGACAATTGTCTTGTATGGCGAGGAGGAGTACGGAAGCCTGGTTGACTGGGACGCCGGACAGATCCACAGAGGCGATACCGTGGGCTTCCCATTCGGAATCCTAGTCTTGGAAGCACAGGCGTACCTCATGGGAGTTCTTCGAAAGGCTTTGGACACTATCCTCCAAGGCATCGATGACTCCCATCCAATTCGAACGGTCAAGTGGCAACAAGCCACGGCGACAGGGACCTTCAGGCGAACGAACGACATTGAGCCTTGGTCATCATTCACATGGGGGGCTTTCTGTGCTCCACCCAAGTTCGACATGGCATACTGGGCGTCTCTGGCCCAGTCAAGACGTGAGAAGGCCGAGGACCATCTGCGAGCACTCCAATGCGACCCGGCGTACATGCGAAGATCGATTCGCGTGGTAGCCGACTCAGCCCAATGGAGTCAGATCTCAGCTAAGACCAAGGGCATGTGGTTTACGGGGAAAATTTGTGAGGCCATGGAATCCTATTATCTATGGCGCTTCATGGAGGGCGAGTGTCAACATGTCGATGAAGTATGTCGTCGCCACGGAGTCTCTGTTTGCACCCCAGGAAGACCTTTGCCACAAGAAGTCGATCAGGCTCTAGGTGAGTTTGACAATTGGGTAGCGAGGGAAGTTATCTGTCGAGCTCGAGCGCTGTTTGAAAACCTCTCAATGTCTCCGGCTTTCTCGCAGCACTACAGTGCGGAGCCTGTAGGCAGCAGCACCTTCTCTTTTTCACGCCTTACCGACAGCGACTGCATGGCCGCTTTGCGCGAGGACCCACTCGACTGGTATCTAGGCCGGATTGTTGAAACTTCAGGCACGAGCAGACTATTTGACGAGTCGAGGCTCTTTTTCTTCCTGGAAGAGTACTTGTCTGCCTGTAAAGTGGGTGAGAGACGCAGGGTGGACGAGCTGATGGTTGGTGCTATTGATGATCTTGCAGCGGTTCAGGAGATTGCAAACGGCACCCGTCTTCGGCGGCCTGTGACACTGACCACCTCGGAGAAGGCAATGCATCGCGGCTTAGGCACACGAGCACACAGACGGACTCGAATACAGCCGAAGACGGACCATATGTTCAACCGCGTCTGCACAGAAACTGGGCCACACCTCCTCAAAGTCTTCCAGCAGTCCAAACCGCCACAGGGGCTAAAGGGCCAGGCATGGATTAAACAACAGAAAGAGCTCCGCTCTTCACTGAGCACCTTCTGGGACTCCGTCAGAGAGCTCAACAAGGATGACTACAGTAGAACCGACTTGTCGGCCGAGGAAGCCGAGGAATTGCTCAAGGCCATCTCTGCCGACCTGTGCCCTGAGCACCAAAAGGCCGTAAAGGACGAGGAAGATGCGGTATATGCAAGCATGAAGAAGCCCAGAGAAATGTTGACAGCAGCAACAACGGTCTTCATTGGCGAGGGACACAACCGGCAGACGCGCAAATACGACCTTGGTCACGTCAAGAACAAAAAGAACAAAAAGAAGACGCGACCAGATGAGCCCGCAGACGTCCGAGCTGAGGAGCCACCATGCGATCTGGGCAAGCTCTCGTTGGAAGGGGAAGCCCCAGGCGCGCCCATCGTGGTGCCCAGAAAGGTCTTTGAAGACTTCGTCTGCAAGGTCTTCCCGGCTGAGAAGAATGAAGGCAAGCAAGGGGTTGACTGGCAGACATTTGTGCGCGGCATGGCCGCCGTCGGCTGCTCGGTGACCAACAGCGGTGGTGGCGGCTCCGAGGTTCTCTTCTCCCATGAGTTGTTCGGCAAGATCACGTTTCACAAGCCGCACCCCGAGCCCAGGGTGGACACCATCAAGCTGCATGCCTGGGCTCAGAGGCTTCAGAGAAGATTTGGGTGGAGCCGGGAGCAGTTTGTTGTTGCGAGTGTGCAGCCCAGTCAGGCTACGGAAGGCTCCAAGGACAAGAGTGAACTTGAGAAGATGAATGAGTCCAAAGCCTCGTGAAGGGTGCCACGAGGGAGGGCGGAGAATGCGCGAGACTTGAAGTTTCGAAGAGTAGGAAGGAGGCCATTCTCTTAGGGACAGAGTAGGCAAGAAGCCAAGTGTGTAGTCAAGATTGCATATATTTATGTTCGTCAAGAATCCGCAACCGCCGTGTGCATCAGGCAGTGACCAGCCCCAACCACTGATAGGTGACCTTCAATATCGTAGGGGAAGTGAGACTGATTGATCAATTTTCCGCAGCAGTGTCAGTAGACCGTAGAAGCTGCGGTGTATTTATATGCACGGCTTTGCACAGCTCTGTGCTGCTGGCATGCTGCTTGCCGGTGGAGGCAAACAACAGTCCACATGAGTCAATCCTTCTTCGCCTGGCACGCAAGCGCACCAAAAGACAATGAAAGACAATCATCAGTCAAGAATCAAACGGGTCCAAAAATTCCCTAGCCGGCCTAGGCCAACTAGGAGTGGTCATGTTATAGTTTTCAACTAGCAAAAACGTGTTCTCAGGCGTACCTTCACTGAATCACGTAAAGCCCGTGCACCAGGATGAAGAGAAAGGGAAGAGGAGGGTGCAGCACAGCTGCGACACAGGGTGGCAGGTTTATATAATTTGCTGGCGGGGAGTTCTGCCGAAGAGTCTGCCAGACCCCCACCGCCTTCTGCTTTTGGAGCAGACAACTGGTGAGTCAGCGTACGCCCACCCAGCTTCTACAGTACGCCCACCCAGCTTCCAGCGTTGGCCCACCCAGTACAAGGAAATTGGCTGCATATGCTATAAAATATTAATACTGCGGGGTTATTAATAAAGCATAGCTATAGCTATCTCAAAGGGGTCCCATAGCTATCCCAAAGGGGTCCCATAGCTACCCCTTTATTTGCAACTTAAAAGTTACTTCTACCCTCTGCCGCCCTTTGCACCCTCTAAGCGCTCTACGGCCCTCTGGGCGCTCTGCAGCCCTCTAGGCGCTCTGCAGCCCTCTAGGCGCTCTGCGCCCTCTAAGCGCTCTATGGCCCTCTAAGCGCTCTGCAGCCCTCTAGGCGCTCTGGGGGCTCTGGGCGCTCTGGTGCCCTCTGGGCGCTCTGGTGCCCTCTGGGGGCTCTGGGGGCTCTGGGGGCTCTGGGGGCTCTGGGGGCTCTGGGGCGCTCTGGGGGCTCTGGGGGCTCTAGGGGCTCTAGGGCCCTCTAGGCTTTTTAGGCTTATATTTTTAAAGTATTGCTTAAATTGGAAAATAGCTACCCTGGCTTATTGGAAACCCCGCAGTACTTGCATTTTAATGCGGATGCAGCTAATTCTCCTTGTACTGGGTGGGCCAACGCTGAAAGCTGGGTGGGCGTACTGTAGAAGCTGGGTGGGCGTACGCTGACTCACAACTGGTGGGTCCGCCGGCTGCCTGCTAATTTTGGGAACGCGTCTTCTCAACCGCGACCCCATTTGAGTGATTTCGGTCAACCGTGAGTCGCCTGTAGACTTCGACTCGGTGCATTATGGTGTATCAATAGCTAATATAGTCTCTTGTTTCAGACGCAAGTCTGTCTCAGCCAGATCCTCCTGTTCAAATACCACCTCCCATTCCGAAGCATACAACCACGGTGGCACGACGCTTACCAAATCAGCTGTGCTGCCTAACAAAAAATGACCTACTCACCCGCGCTCATCGCTCCGGCTTCAATGTGTTGCCACTTCTACTTTTCTTCAAGTATTTCATCCCTTCCACAGACGTTGACATCGATATGGGGCCGCACAGAGATTCCGCCCTCTCTGACAAGTCCACTCACCAACTACCTAGATATCTAGGCTCAGTACCAGCGGGGCTTTGACGTCCGTCGAGAGGCTCCATGCCGGGCTGATAGAACTCAGTCCCTAGGGTCTTGCACTGATTGACTACAGTACCCCTTCTGGCCCTAGTTCAGCCAGCCCTTCGGACCTCCCCAAGTCCCCTTCACCATTGACTTGTAATAGACCCAAGGGAAAAAGTCCTTCTTGAGATGATAGAAAGCCCGACGAGGGGTTGCTTGGTCAATTCCAAGCCATGCAAAAGTCTCCTTGGGCTGTCCGCCATACTTGAATTCGGCGAGGAGCACCTTGCCATATTCCGTCAACAACGGGCACGAGGTGTACCCATCGTACACAGCATCGGGCTGCTTGCTCTCCAGGGCCTGCAACAGGTTGCGGACCAGCACTGGCGACTGCGAAGTGATCGCTGCCGCCGTCTTGGAGGTCGGCAGGCTGGAAGCGTCGCCGGCTGCCCACACGTTGGCGTATTTCTTGTGTCGTGTGGTGCCATCATCGACGTCCACATATCCCGCTTCGTTCGCAAGCCGGCTCTCCGCAACGAACGCGTGGGGGCCCATCTTGGGCACAACATGCAGCAGATCGAAATGCCTCCTCACCTGCTCCTTGGTGTCGACGCGGCTGAACGTCGCCGTATTGCCGTCAATGGAGGCGAGATCGTGCTGGAAAAGGCCTTCGACGCCCCTCTCTTTTCGGAGTTCTTCCAACTTCGCGGCGTATTTCGGGACTCCGAACATCGTAGGGAGCCCGTTGGCAAAAGTGACCTGGATTGCTGAGTCGGGAGTGTTCCCTGGCTTGTACAAACCCGCACGCGTCCACTTGTCTAATGCCAGCCACATGACCTTCTGTGGAGCTCCAGCACACTTGATGACGCCTGCTGGCTGGGTAAAGATGGCATTTCCCTTCTGAAGTTTGCTGATAGTCTCATGCGCTTTGTCACAAGTCTCATAGCTGTAAATGGTTGACACAGGTGCATCTCGGTCAGCAAGGGCCTCAGGTAATCCCTTGATACTGTTCAAGTTGACGGTGATGCCCGGTGCAACAACCAGGTGGTCGTAGTTGATGATGTCAGTGTTGCTGAGTCGTATTGAGTTGTCCTCAGGGCTGAACGCGCCCACTCCTTGGTTGTAGAGCTTGATCTTAGGGTCGATCAAGCTGCTCAAGGGCCGCTGCAGCTCTTGTTTCGTCTTCAGCCCTCCGCCGACGAGAGTCCAGCCAGGCTGGTAGTGATGCAATTCTGCTGGGTCGACAATGGCAATATCATCAGCAGCGAATTTTCCCGACCGTAATAGCTGGTGGCTGATGTTTAGACCAGCAGAGCCGCCACCAACTACCACAACCTTGTGGTTTCGAGCAACAGGGTTGACTGGCGACACTGATGCTAGATTTCGTTGAGTCGAAGCAATTGGCCTGGCGGCCATAAAACCCCGGGATGCGCGAGGCACAGAGGAACGAATGGAAAGCATCGTGGCGTGGAAATTGTGCCTAAATGAATTGTAGTGGGAAATACAGAGAGAGAAGGAGAGATCAAAAAGGTAAAAAAGATCAGGACCGCCGAAAGTCAGTGATATGCAAAGACGCTGGGGAGCACGTAGTCAATGGTACATGTCAGAAATGGAGCATCAAATATGAGCCGAGACTCATGTAAGTCCCCACTGTGACATTGCCTAGCTGCCACCGTGGGCCGACAGCCGCGCTTCGCTCGGTATCCGGCTGGCCGACCTCAGCGAAATCGCCCCATTGATGCTCGCCATCTGAGCCAAAATATCGACAGGGGCGATGATGTGATCGAGGCCATGATGGTCTAAGTTCTTGGGTGCCGTATTAGAATATTTAAATATCTAGCAAACGCCTTCTCCTGACTCTAGACATGCTCGCGCCTCCCTCCCCAAACTTTACTCTTTCCCTCAAGCTCACCAACAACGTCGAAGCCCAGTGAAATCTGTGGTTTCCCGGTTCCATGTGTGAACCTGCAGAGGGATGAGGTCGTCTACCCGTTCGTGCCTCTCCTCTTCTAGTCTGTCATAGGCTCGGGACGGTCGGACGGATAAGACGTCGGTTCGACTGCCTTCGCCACAAGTCGCCGTCCTCACCGGCCTGGAACCTGTGGCAGTGTGATCGCGGAAAGAATCGGGCCAGCAGTGACGAGATCTGCCTCGACAACGTCATGGCCTGTAGAACAAGGAGGGTTGGTTGCTCAAGAAAGAGCAGCGATACTTGCGACGCTTGAGTCAGACGGCTGAGACGGCTGTCGGGATTCTGACAGCCTTGGGTTATGCCGTTGAGCAAGTTTGGACTTTCAAAGGTCGCCGAGTGGGCCAGGAGATCGCCGACTGGACCGGCGACACTAAAGGCCAGTCGGAGTGAGATCCTGACGACGTCTGAGCATATCTGAAGTCTGGATATATCATCCAGTCGAGAAAGACAGCGTGAAGTTGCAGTCGGGATTCGAGTAATTTCATGCGTCTTCGATCTAACTCAGCGCAAAAACTATTTATACCCAAAGAAAATCCGCGATGCCGTCTCTTCGTTGTCCCAGCTGCAGCAGCGGCAGCAGCATATTCTCTATGTATTCGTCTCGTGCAAGACCAGCAATACTCTCTAGCTGTGCTTCCGCCTCCTTTACTAGTCAAAATCGGCTTGCGCATCTACCTACAGTAAGCACAGCGTCAAGAATAATCTCTTGCCAGCCAACTGGATCGTCAAATCAACATCGGCTGTTCCAAACAGGAAAGGCATTGAGCGCGATCTGTGTTCAACCTCCAGGGAATTTGCAAACTCAGCCAGTCCGAGCATGTTTCGCTACTGCAACGACCATGACCAACCAGCCAATTATTCATGACGTTTTCGAGAGCAAGACGGGCACTTGGCAGTACGTGGTTGCGGATCCAGCGACCTCGAGTGCGGCCATCATCGATCCAGTTCTTGACTTCGAGCCGTCCAACCAGGCCTTGACCACTGGGAGTGCAGACACCCTGCTCTCATTAGTCAGGGAGAAAGGCTACAAGGTGGACCTCATCCTCGAGACACACGCGCACGCCGACCATCTGACCGCAGGCTCCTATCTTCAAAGCCGCCTGTCCCAGATGCAAGGCTACAAGCCGCCCATCGGCATCGGCAAGCGTATTGGCAGGATCCAAGATCTGTTCAGCAAAAAGTATGGTGTTCCAGCGGATGAGCTTGAGGGTGTGTTCGAGCGTCTCTTTGACGACGACGAGACGTTCGAGATCGGGACCTTGAAAGCCAAGGCCATTCACCTGCCCGGTCACACTCCGGACCACCTAGGCTATATGATTGGAGGTCAGTGCGCCATGGTAACCTTTTAATCAGAGAAAAGTGCTGACGTGTTTACCAGATAATGTCTTCTGTGGTGACTCTCTCTTCCATGCAGACATAGGCACCGCTCGGTGTGACTTCCCCGGTGGTGACGCAAGTGCCCTATACAAGTCAGGGCGGAAGCTCCTCAGCCTGCCAGACCATGTAAAAGTTTGGACTGGGCACGACTATCCCCCAAAGGGCAGGGAGCCTATGCCCTTTATGACCGTCGTGGAGCATAAGAAGCAGAACAAGCATCTGAGAGAGGGCATAACCGAGCAGGAATTTGTTGCCATGCGGAACCAGCGCGACGGTGCCTTGGGTGCTCCCAGGCTTATTCATCCGTCTTTGCAGATGAATATTCGGTCAGGGCGCCTGCCCAAGCCAACATCGTCAGGTCAGCAAATGTTGCACCTGCCGTTGAATATACAGGAGCACGCCCAGTGGTGAGCGAGCGTATTTTGTGCGTTGTTTGTACAGTCGCTATTGGAAGAGCCGTATCCCGAATGTAATCTATCAAATTTCAGCAAGCACGTGTTTGACCTTTTGCTTCCCTAAGACATGTAAGCCGCCTCTACGGAAACGGTAGCAGGAAACTTGCGAATAGCTCCCGGGTGCTCTGAGTATTTTCCCACAAATAGTACAAGGAACTCACGAATATATATGTATCTGTATGTATTTACTGACGTCATCACACTGTGTTTCCAGTCGGAAAAGAAGTTTATCAAGAAAGGGGATGTCATGTGCACAGCCATCCGTTTAGAAAGTTGTGAGCTAGGTCTTAATTAAACTAGCATTGTGGATCTCCTGCAAATTCTGTGGTACCACTATCCAAACTAAAATTCAAGGAATCGATTACTCTGGGAAAGCTGGCCAAGCAGATACGCAAATACTTCAGAGCTCCCAACACTGAAGCTTCAACCGATGTCAGGCGTGAAACACCCTGTTCTTCGGACACTGGACCTGGGAGACAAATATCCTCTTTCCCAGCTGTCGTCCGTCGATCACGTAAGTCCTAGATGTTGGAAGCTTTAATGCACCTCGCACCGTCGTTTCCTCCGGGTGATGATGGTCCAGTCGAGATTTTGATTGGTGATCCACTAGGGACACCAACCCCATTATCGGGCACCGGAAACCTCCAGATCTCACCACTGTTGTTCTCGGAGCCATACAAGTACCCATCGTCGGACGCATAAACAGCACCCCAGGTGTTTCTGTTCGTGCCGGTCTTGCCAGCTATGTCCCCGAACTTGACAACCGTGGTCCAGGTCTTGGCGGTCCGATCGAATCTCATCAGATATGTTGACGCTCTAGTATCGTCTTCACACCCCACGCCCCACAGATAATTGCCCTTTTTGGGAACGTAAGCCCAGTCAATCACGTATAGCCCCGGTGATGCAGTCCCCTTGGTTACCGTCCGGCCGTAGGTTGCCGAGCCTGGTTTCAAGTCAACCTGAATCCAGTCTACTCCGCCTGCTGCGCCCCAGTATTGTGAGTTCTCATCTACGTCGCCGCAGGTGGAGGTAAAACTGATATTGAGACTTCCCATATTCACGCAATCGCCTGTACCTGAGATTCGAATCAGGTCGAAAGGCGCGGCGTCGAATGTAGCAGCATATAGAAAGTTGTCCCCGACATTGTAGCCCATGGCGTTCATTTTGAGGGTTCGTGTGCCGATTTGCATACCGCTTTTGATGGTGGTGACGATTCCGGTCGTAATGTTGACTCTATATAGGTTCGAGACCTGGACGAGGTAGCCGCTGGGATCACAGTTCAAAGTTTGCAGAGGGGTCGACGAGGATGATCGCGATGAGGAACTACTAGATGAGGAGCTACTCGATGAGGAGCTACTCGATGAAGAGCTACTCGATGAGGAGCTGCTCGATGAGGAGCTGCTGGAACGGGAGGAGCTCGAGCTAGACGAGGTCGAGCTGGACGAGGTCGAGCTGGACGAGGTCGAGCTTGTCGTTGTTCGCCGGATGGTAGTGGAGCTGGAGGAGCTAGATGAGCTCGAACTTGTCGTAATGATTGCGGGAGCGGTACTGGGACTAGAACTTGTAAGGTTGGACGATGTCTGTTGCGCTGTGGAGGATAGAATCAGGCTGGTTCTCGATTGGGCTGATGAAGACAAGCTGGAGGGACTCGATATTGTGGGTCCTTCGGAAGACGTTGACTCGGTGGACGTACTTGTCGGCTGTTCGGACGTGGATTCGGAGCTTGTACTCGTGGGTCTTTCAGTCGATGTGAATACGAAGCTGCTTCCGGTAGGTTCTTCGGAAGACGTTGACTCGGAGCCAGTACTTGTAGCCGCCTCTGAAGAAGATGACTCCGTGGTACTGCTAATACTAGTCGTTAGCGGTTCTGGAGATGTAGGCTCTGAATTCGTGCTTGTTGGCTCTGAAGTCGACGAGGACTCGGAACCGGCGCTTGTAGACTCTTCGGAGGACGTTGACTCGGAGATTGTACTCGTGGGACCTTCGGAGCTAGTATTTGTTGGCTCCTCGAACGAACTGGACTCCAGGCTCGTACTTGTAGGCTCCCCGGACGACGAAGATTCAGAGCTACTTGTTGTCTGTTCAGTACTACTCGCTGAGGAATCACTCCAAAAAGAGTCGATCGAAACAAGACTTCTTGACGAGGACGGACTCGTTGTGGTTATCTCGGCTGTAGACGAAGAGATTGTAGAGCTGGGCAATGTCTGCTCTGCTGTGGAGGATAAAGCTAGGGTGGCGATCGGTTGAGCTGTCGGAGACAAGGTAGGAGGAATCAAGGTTCCTGTCTGGTCAGTACTACTCGATGTGGATGCCGACTCGCTACTATAGACATCACTGCTTGTCGCCATAATTGACTCAGGTGCCGTAATGATGGACGGTGAACTCTGGGCCAACAAGCTCTCATCACTACTTGTTTCCATGGTTGACTCGGACTCTATGCTGGGAGGCAGCGAACTGAGAATGGACGAGGTTAAGCCACCACTCGTCTCGATACTTGACAGAGATTCGGTTTCAGAAAACGATAAATTCAGAGACGAGGTTAAGCCACTACTCATCTCAGTGCTTGACAGAGATTCGGTTTCGGGGGACAAGGAAGTGAGGGATGGGGTTAAACCACCATTCGTCTCACTACTTGACGGAGATTCTGTTTCGGGAGACGTTGAAGTGAGCACGGACGAGCTCACGTCATTGGTACTTGGAAAGAGATCATCGCTTGTGGAGGTGCTCAAGACATCTGGACCCGATGAAGATACAACGCTGCTAGATGAGTCGATGACATCGATTGGCGTGATATAGATTGGCGTGGTCACAGGAGCTGGGATACTTTCGATACCCGGGATCGAAGCTGAGGTTTCCAAGTAGCTGCTCTCAGATGGCACGGAACTAGATTCTTGTGTCGAGCTCAAGGCATGAGGACTTGATGTTGAGTCAGACTCAGCACTACTCTCGGTGGATGACACTAGACCAGAAATTGACGAGTCTTCGGGTGGGCTCAAGTTTGAGGAGGGCGAAGCCGATGATTGGGATCCAAAGCTGCTGGACTCCGTGATTTCTACGTCGTAGGAAGAATATGACGACGAGAGCAGTTCTGAGGGCAGCCCCGAAAGTAGTCCTGAACTAGTTGACTCCACCGGACTCTGAGATGATATTTTCAAAGGGTCGGGCTGTGATACAGAGCTGCTTGCCTCTGTAATTTCTGCACCGGGGGTAAAGTAGAAAGAAGAAGGCAATTTTGAAGTAATTAAGTGCACTGGACTCTGGGATTGCGTTTCCAAGGAATCAGGCTGTGATATGGAGCTGCTCGCCTCTATCCTTTCTGAACTTTTTGTAAAGTATAATGAAGAGGGCAATTTTGAGCGTAGTTCTGAAGTAGTTGACTGCACCGGACTCTGAGATGATGCTTCCAAGGAATCAGGCTGTGAAGTAGAGCTGCTCTTCTCTGCACCTTGGGTAAAGTATGATGATGAGGGCAATTCTGAGGGGAGTTCTAAAATAGTTGACTGCACTGGACTCTGAGATGTTGATGTCAAGGTATCAGGCTGTGAAACAGAGCTGCTCGCCTCTACAACCTGGGAAGAATACAACGACGAGGGCATTTCTGAGTGCAGTTCCAAAGTAGCTGGCTGCACTGGACTCTGGGATGTTGATGCCAAGGGCTCAGGCGCTGATGTGGAGCTACTCGTGGGGTCATCAACTTGTGACTTCTGGGAAGTGCTCGTAGACTGCGAGCTCGTTTCTCCTGTAGCTGAAGTAGCCGGACTCTGTTGCTCTTCGGGCCCAGGGCTCGCTGAGACTGACGAAGTCGGCTCGTCGTCGTGGCTGGTCTTGCTCTGAGCCGTATTTGAAAGGCTATTGGAACTATGAGAGCCAACTGACTCTAGAGAGGACTGTGCGCTATTACCCTCAAGGCTAATTTCGCTCTGAGCCGTGCTGGAAAGGTTGTAGAATAGCTGAGAGCTACTTGATTCTTGAAGACTGGAGGACTGTGCACTGTTACTTTCGAAGGTGGTGCGGCTGTGGGCCGTGCTGGAAAAACTGTAAAAAGGCAGAGAATCAATCGAGTCTAGAGCACTGGAGGGCTGTGCAGTATTATTTTCAAAGAGGGTCTGGCTGTGTGGCTCGCTGGTTGAGGTGGCAGGCAAATCTGAGCTAGTTGAGGCAGGAGTTTCAGAAGTTTGTGCGACCTCTGAGCTCATGGGATTGCTTTCTGACAGAATCGAGGTCTCATCTCCGGATAATGAAGGACCATCAGCAGTGGAAAAGGGCTGGCCCTCAGAATGTGGCTCCGAAGCACCTAGGGTAGACAAAGTTGAGGACTCGTCGTCTATAGTAACCGATGTTGTTGATCTACCGGCAACTAAACTCGTTCCTGCGTCTGAGGGTCCGAAATTACTTAAACTGCTGCCTACATATGTGGGCTGAGACGTTTGATCGCTGCTCGATACCTGGATCGTAGACGAGCCTAATGGGTCTGTGATATCTGTGCTCGGAAGTCGTACAGCGGATGATGGGCTTGTCGGGGAACTAGGAGCCACATTGCTTGTAAGTCCGGGAGGAAAGGTTGCAGTGCTCGTTGAGTCAGTGCCTGGAGTTTGTAGTGGTGTTGCAGTCGCAGCTTCAGTGCCCTGCGATGTTTGTGGTGAACTAGGTAGTTGGGTTAGGCTCTCCGTGGGAACGAACGTCCAGGTCGATATTCTACTCGACGTCTCACTAGCCAGGAATGTCCCACTCGCTGTGAATGGCGAGACCGTCCCCTGAACTGGAGTTGACATCGAGGGTGAAGGGACCAAAACAGGTGTGCTCTCCAGAGACGCTGTGGAAGACGAGGAGGGAATCGCATCATCCGTCACGGTCACGGTCACCGGCTCAAGACTGGACGTGGATTGAGTAAAAGTGTCGTTGACGATCACGCCGAATTGGCATTGGACCTCTGCGAAATATTAGTTGATGTTCTTCCAGTTAGTTCAATAAGGTGCCAAAAGCGTACCCCTGTACACGACCAGATTAACGTCGGTACAATCCTTGGGACCGCCCGCCGCTGTGAACGTTGCGTACACACTTGAGCCGTTGATCTGACAGAATCCAGCCTGGCCCCCGTGGAACAAGGAGTTGACCCATACAAGCGTGCCGTTCACCACATCAAATCGTGTAGTAATTGAGCCCCTCGTGTAATTCGCAACATCGATGTATGGTACTCCTGGGTCAACCGAGAGCGGTTCACCCTCAGTCCGAAGTGCCCCACTGCTTCGGACGAATAGCCTGGCGTTTGAGCAGCTATTGGGATGGGGGAGCTCATCATTGCCTATGAATCCCGCTGTTGAATTGCCGGCCTCAGCAGTTTGCCGTCGAACAAGCCTGGCTGGTCCTTGTGACGATGTCGCCTCCTCCGTTATTGTGATCGTTGGTGCCAACGCAGGGGGAAGCTCCGATCTGACACTCAAAATGACCCGAGACTCAACTGATGGCGAAAGTGTCTCAGTGAAAGTAGAGCTCGTCTCAGCCAGACTTGCTGCGTCCGTTACTAACTCTGAGGGAGTAGCAACGACCGGAAGGCTTGAGTTGAGGAAGCTCCCCTGTGAGCTTATACTTGGCCCAGGAGGTATATCGATCGAACTCGTTTGTGAAGTTGACAACATTGCAATTGTAGGTGAGGGTGAATCCAAGGCGCTCCTGCTCACGCCAACAGCCAGCGAAGTTGTGCCCGCCGTAGGATCTGCACCAGGTACACCGATTGGAAGACCTCCTGTCGCGGTTTGACTAGTTTCCGACCGGACTGAACCTTCAACACTTTTCTGCGAAGTGACATCTTCTGGCTGACTCGTATCGGTCGGCGTTGATATGAGGCTTGTCCCAGTAACCGAATGGAAAGATGGAAGATTAACAATACTAGATCCGTCATTCCGTGCAGTGGAAGATCCAGCCGTCGAAGTTGGGATCGCAGAAGGTGTGCCCGTTGCTGTTCCTCCACCTGAAATTCGCGTGGCTGAAGGCAATTCTGCGACCTCTGATGCACCACTTTCAGTGGACAAAGATGAGTTGGAACCTGTTGGGCCGAATGCTGTATTGCTGAGGGAGGCTGGGGGTGGAAATGGCAGGGAAACAGGTGGTGGGAGCGACAGGGAAACAGATTCTGGTGGTAGAAGTGAGCTCGAAACCACTATCGCTGAGGGGAATCTTGCTGAAGCGGATACATCGCTACTAGGGGTGACGGCTAATCCCAAGCTCGAAGTTGGAGTGTCTGAAAGGAAGCCGGTGGGGGTGAATACATCACTGCCAGTGTTGATGGCTGATCCTGAGCTGGAATCTGGAATTTCTGAAAGGAAGTCTGTCGAAGCGGATGAGCGACCGCGAGTAGAGGTCAATGCTGGGTTGGTAAGTCTTGATGTATCCAATCCAGATGCTGACCCATTAGCATCAGAAGGGCCAGTTGAATCGGGGAGAGTGCCCTGTAGGGTGTTGGACCGTGTAGGGAAGTCGGTAGTACTGGTCAACAGGCCGGATGTGTTCCCAGCCTCCGCTGTTTGAGTAGAGGAAAAAGAAAGACTACTGGCGCCACCAACAGACGATAAACCTGGCGAGCCGTCGAAGCTGCTTGGTGGAAGTGGGATGGCGACTGGATATGTGATGCCTTCCCAGAGTCCCTGGGGTGGAAGACTCGATATTGACTCAACCGGCACAGTTATCGTCGTAACTTGAATGTATGTGTAGCATATTGATTGGCTTTCGAAATTGGCTTCATATCTTTCGTAGAGCTCCTTTAGGCCGGGGTTATGATCGGTTTTAACAGCGTGACAGACGCAGTATGATGCTATAAATGTGACAAAGGTGCAGCTGCTGAGGATTGGGCGCATTGTATTGCCTGACAGCAAAGAGGAGTGTCCAGAGAATGGAGGTGAGCGAGAGAAAGTTGCGGATGGACAAACCAAGGCCCTCCTGTTGGGCGAGTATAGAATATTCAGCTCCGTACCAGGCCTATGGAGCAAAATGTTACAGCCCAAGTCTAATATCTAGAAGCCACCATTGCTCTGCCAGGTAGAAGTATTTGATATTATTGCCAGCTTGCTCCAAAATCACAGACATTTGCACCACCATATGATGATGCACATTGCAACGCCACTTCGGTCAATATGATCATTTCAACCCCCACATCTGCAATTAATCCCTTGCTTGTTGGAAACGCAGGTCGACACTGACAGCCAAGCGGTGGTTGGAATGAGCACGAATGAATACTTCCGGAACGGAATGGCTTCCGACATCGAAAGTGTAGGCACGGAAGTCGGCATACTCGTACAGGTCGAGTTATCCTATGTCTGTTCCGTCTGGCGCTATAAAATAAGAACCGTAAAGATAGTCGCGCGGCGCATAGGACCTTGGCAATTTGGTTGCTAGCGTCGAACAATCCAAAAGTTCCACCCGCATGGTGGTTCACATTGCCATATCATCCCATTCCAGCACGGCAGCCACAACATGTGAGACATTCTTCTCGAACCGTTCGGAATTTGCCAGGGCTTGGCAAGTTCAATATTACTTCGCGAGAAACCCCATAAGAATTTCACGAGAACGGCCAGAACGCTGAGACAGCATGAGTTCGTCTGGATGCTCTCGGGCAACGCATTCTGCCTTTAGAAATAGATCACCAAGTTCCGCTGTCAAAACATGAATCTCGCGTGTATTGTAGACAGTCGGGCCGCTTTCATAGAATACCCTGTTCGGGCAATACAAGCATACAATTGGATGTCAGATAATTTATATGAGAGCTATTTGCGTATCCATCAGTCAGGAAGAAACTTCCTGGAGCTTGCTTTTAGCACTTTGTCATTGCTGTTTCGTACTCGTCCAGTGAACGTTGGTGGGTCCATGATGTGCTTCAATCTGATGCTTCACTTTTCTTTCGTCATTACGTTGGCGCTGAAAGTTCGAGCTCAAGAGGTTTATTATATCACGTCAGCGTTTACTGAATGTTTTCGGGTTGTCTCAGCCTCTGATACATTGTTTCCTGACTCAGCAAAACAATCAGCGAATCCAACTATAATGTTGGTGTCTGAACCTAACGAAATTGGCCCATCGAACCTAGCATATCCTCCTTTATCGCCAGCGGATCCTGAAAATCCGGAGGGACCGCAGTCACCTGGCGTTGTGGCATATAGTATGCCGCCATGCGCAGTTTGCGATTGTCCAACCTGCACCACTACCAGCGTGTTCACGACAACGTTCCCGGACTTCGGCCCCAATGGCCCATCGGAAAGGCCCTACACTATCACAGAGACCTACGTCGGGATGTCGTCTCTACCGTACTTCCCTACACCTACACCGATACCCTACGGTTTCACAACAGCAATTGAGACTTGTACAGAAGGTGGAGCACAGCCTATCACCGGGACTGTAGTAACACCTAAGACTGGTAAATCATGGGGGCAAGACATGGCAGTAGCCACTGGAGGTCTCAAGACCCGGCCCTCCGATGCGCCTTCATCTCCAGAATCGGGTGCAGATTTGCCACCAGACATGTCAGAAGCCACTGATGGTCTCGGGACTCAGTCACCTGGTGCACATCATCCAAAATCAGATTCAGATTTGTTACCAGATGCATTGAAAGCCACTGATAGTCTCAGTTTCCCGCCATCTGGTGCACCTCCTCCAAAATCGGGCCCGGACTTGCCCACGGGGGTAATTACCACATTTAATAACGTCGGAGCTGTTGAAACTACTTTTTCCACAAGAACGGAGCATATCACGGGGAAAACCCAGGCTGGAGGCCAGTATTCGGAGGGTTGGGATGGCGAGGTCAGAACATCGGAGCCTTCTGCGAGGCCCACGTCGTACATTCAAGTCAGCGCTGCCGAATCATCGTGGCAGGATTGCTTATCATCATATTGTGTGGTCATATTGGCATTCTGGGTGGTAGTCCTAGTTTGATAAGAATCCAGCGACTTGACCAAGTTTCGCAAAAAGAAAGAGAACGGATATCGCACTGGAAAAAACGGAGGGTACACCCGTATACCCTCCACCCATACACCCAGCACCTATACACCTAGCACCAATACACCCAAAACCTATACACCCAATATCCATACACCTAATACCCACATACCCAACACCCATACACCCACACACCCACACACTTAATATCTATATAAATTAGGTGTATTGGTGTTAGTTCTGTGAATTGGTTGTGTGAATTGGGGGTGGGTGTTGGTGCTGGGAATGTACGGGTGTACCCTCTGTTTTCGTGTGTGTAAATATCCAGTCTTAATGGAAAAGGATCAAACACGCGCCTGTTAAGATATGATTGATTAAATTAGAGTGTCAGGCTCCTCCAGGAGGACTTGACGGAGGAGTTAGTCAAACATATCTACACGGCGACGACAAGGATGACGGTTCACATACGTCAGACCCTAATACGCAGAGATGTTGTCGCAGATGCCGGAGAATCTACGCTTATAAGGAAAGGAAGGATGTCACCTGAAAGCAATACAAGCTATAGGCCCCTAAATGGACTTTTGCCCCTGAAATGGACATAATTCTCGTATTATTGCACACCCAAGTGGACCGGGGTGAAAGCGAAACCCAAGGCCAGGTATATTATGCGTACAAAAGTCCCCAAGTTCCATGAAATATATTCATTACTCATCACAATTACAGCATGAAAGCCATGACACCGACGACAACCGTCAGGCCGGCGCCAACAACACCCCGTGCAGCGCCAGCAGTCACCACCGTGTTTTGAGGCGCAGGGACGCCGGCGCCGGTTGGCTTGACCGTCGCCAGGCTGAAGGTCTTCGTCGCGGTGCTGTTGCCGAAGCCGTGGCTGGGTCCGGGGCCGGCGTTGTTGACAGGCGGCGGCGCGTAGCCCTCGTTGCCAGCGGTCGGGACCGACACGACAGGGCGGGTGATGGTGCTGTGCAGTTTTGTCGTGACAGTGGAGGTAGTAGTCCCCTCCTCGGTCTCCTCGGGCGGGCTGGGGTAGGATCCCTCACCACCGGCCGGCGTAGAAGGGCTGGGGTGGGAGGCCTCTCCGCCGGCTGGGGTTGGCGGGTTGGGGCTGCTTCCTTCGTTCTGGGCAGGGCTGGAAGGGCTGGGGCCGGAGCCGGCAGGCTTTGTCTCGGAGGGAGTCGAGCCGCCGCCGCCACCGTTCTCAGCGGGCGGGGTGGGAACAATGTGGCCACCTTCGGTGACGGGGCAGACGGTCGTCGAGATGGCGATGATTTGCGTGGTCACCGAGCCAATCTTGCCGGGGCAGTCGGTCACGGCCGGGGCACACGACGTGACTGTGTAGACCGTGGTGCTGTAGATGGTGCTCGTGGTCAGATGCTCGCCGCCAGGAATGGGCCCAGCAGATGTGGAAGTGATTGGCACGACAGTGGCGGTGACAGTCTCATCATCACCTGGAGTCGGCACAAGGACATCAGTTGAGGTGACTGGAATGATGGACGTGGTGACGTGTGGAGTACCCGGGCAGTCTGTCACGGTTGGAGCGCAGGAGGTGACGGTCAGGACAGTCGTTGAGTAGAACGTCTCGGTTGTGTGCCCGCCGTTACCTGGGCCGGTCGGCTCAGTTGCCACCGTGGTCGATGTAATTGGGGTGGTAGGTGATTCAATTGTCTCTGACGTGGAGCTCGGCCCGTGGGATGTCCAGGTGGTGTTAGACCATGATGTGTGAGGAGGTCTGGTCGACAGATGAACGCTGCTGCTGGTTATAGTGGTAGGGGCAGTCTGCGCCTCTGAGGTGCTTGTCGCAGTGGTCCATGTGATGTTGCTCCAGCTCGCAGTAGAGCTGAGGCTGACGCTTTCTGTATCAGATGTCACGGGAGGCGCCTCTGTGCTTGTAACCTCTGAGGTGGAGGCGCTCTCGGAGCTTGACGTCGTCAGAGTTGTGGCAGAGTACGTGCTGTTCTGAGAGGTATAGGAGCTGCTAGCATCCGAGGTAGAGGCGCTCTCAGCGCTTGACGTTGTCAGAGTTGTCGCAGAGTATGTGCTGGTCTCTGAGGTATAGGAGCTGCTAGCGTCCGAGGTCGTGGAAAGTGCTGTAGACGACTCAATAGAGGCGCTCGAGCTTGAGAGGGCAGTCGTCTCAGAGGCAGACGTCACCACTGAGCTGCTGCTTGAAGGCTGCGGGCAGACGCCACCCTTGTTGTAGAAAGTGTTGCCAGAGCTCGCGCCCGCAACGACGTTGCCCTCCACAGCATAGTTGTAGAGAGCACAAGCAGGGGTGGAGAGAACACCGAAGCTGAGACAGGCTTCGTTAGCATCACAGAGAGCGAGGCAGCCGCTGTAGGTTGCTGAAACCGCGTCGGCGTAGAAACCTGTACCGAGAAAGGCAGTCAGTGTCGAGCTTTCCTCTCAGTCGTTCCACTTCCGGAGTACTTACCGATGTTGGTGCCATCCTTGTCCCAGCCAGAAAGCCCAGTGCACGTTGGTGTGGAGGCGGGCGCTGTCGACGATGTGATAGTGACTGGTGGGACCGTAGACAGGCTTGTGGTCGCGGCGGTCGAAGAAGCAATCGTTGATGTTGAGACCGTGCTTGTCGGGACTGGGCACGCCTTGCATCCGCATTTCATGGACTCGTACAGGGCTTGGTTATAAGAAGCGCCGTCGATGGTGTTCTGAGACGCGAACCATTGATCCCAAACCATGACACCGCCGAACATTGGATAGTCGCCGTACTTGCAGAGATAAGTACTAGCGACAGAAGCATCCACATAACCGCTGCCGGCAGCAGCTGGACTGCCCGGAAGACCGATATGGAGCTTGGCATCCTTGCTTGGGGTATTGGCGAGGTACTTCTCCCAATCGGCATAGTTGAAGCCTGGGTTTGGGGTGCCATCTGCGTTCAAGAGACTGCAAAGCTCGTTGTTGTAGAACTGAATCCACAGGCGGTCAAACTGCACATTCTGAAGCAGGTATGTCATGGTTTGCCACTTAGCCTCGAGCGGGCACTGGGGAGCGGCGGTGATGATATCGTTTCGTCCAGACACAACAATCAGTGCTCTCAAGGTGTCGATCATGGCCGCGTAGCCTTCATCACCAGCTGCAAGTGGGTTAGCATATGGTCCAAGTCCGTCAGTTTTCAATCCAGAAATCACATACAAGAGGAGGACTCGAGGTCAAAGTCGAAGCCATCAACGGCATTGTGCTTGTCTCCGTCGTCGAAAGGCCTGGGCTTGCCTGCCCAAGCTTCAGTGTACGGGCCGAAGGCGCCCCAGACGAATTCGGCAAAGGCGACTCCGTTCTCAGGGCTGGACACCGTATAGTTGCTGGAGACGCCATATTCACCGCCGATGGAGAGGAGGACCTTCTTTCCAAGGCCTTGACAGACTGCAATGCCCGGGGTGAGAGAGGGGCATGTGGATAGCAGCTCGGATGTGTGTCCGTCGGCACTGTACTTTTCTGCCCAACAGTGCGCACCAAAGTTTGTGCCGGGGTATTCAGTAGGGCCTCCGTTCTCTGGTGAGATGTTGACGAAGCCCAGAGTAATGTAGTCAACGGAAGGATCCTGACAAGCCGTGGCCAGGTCTCCGTTGCCCTGTTGTCCCCAATACACATTGACACTGCTGGAAGTTGCCAGCACGGGGACTGCCGCAAGAGCAGCCACAGCAATGGATTCGCGGAGATACATTATTTGTATTAGGGGTGGTATTATGGTAAATATCGAATGAATGTAGTGGCGCAAGCCGGAAAAGAGTGTGTAGTCGCTGTGGTCAACGAAAGGACGCAAAGAAACCTTTGCTGGCTGAGAGAGCTCGCCGTCGTTTGGGACCTTGACAAGACGATGAGGCGGAGAGGCAAGAGAAAGAGCAAAGGGGAGGGACGCAGGCAACGCAAAGCGTTGGTGTGCCTACCTACATATTGGTTTCCTCATTTTGCCCAAAGCAGACGGGGTGCCCATCCTCCAAGAGCGTGAGCACGGCACGATGGTTGCTGCGGCACAGCAACATGACCCAACCCTAGGCTGTCGCCAACATGGGCCCCATCTTCTTGCAGCAGCTCGAGCATCAGCCAATTTCCCTGGTCAGTGCTCCGACGCGGTTGGATCAAGATGGCATGGGCCAGGGATGCAGGAAATCAATCGGTAGCCCGGATCAGTGGTTCAGGAGATGAGCCTGACTGGTAGCCTGGCAGGACTCGCTAGAGAACGAGCGAACTGGTCGTGATGCCAGGAACAGGTATAGCGGCATCGCTAGGAACGAGATAGTGTCCAGGCTGAAGGGGGTGGAGATATTCGACGATTGGTTGTACCAAGCACTAGGGGTGTAGTCAGAGGCTAGGCTGTGGCGGCTCGAGTGAGAACCCGCAGGTGGGACCAATGATGGGACCAATCATCCGGGACTGAAGGATTCAGCATAGCATGACGGATGATATTGCATCGGGCCAAGCTGCCGCGGAGCCGTCTCGTTGCCAATGCATGCGCTGAGGCCTGAGGGACTTTTGACGGGCAGTGGCACGAGAGGCTCAAATAAGGCTGGCCGGGTCCCTGTCATGTCAACAAGTGTCAGTGATCATCGCTGACTTGGTTGACGTGCAAAGCATACCTTTTCTGCAGCCTCATCAGACTCCTGGGCAGGTCAGTCTGATATTCTCCTTGCATGGCCTGATGAGTCAGAGAAATGCAGAAGAGGTGCGTTTTTTGGACCCGCAGAATCCCTGGTGGCGTTCCGTTGAGGGGATTCTTATTAGGCCGTTAGTTGATTCCTGTTTGCCGCCTACGGGTTCCGTGCCACGATTGTGCGTGGAGCTTGTCCCAATTCAGCAGCCCGGTCGTGGTCTGCATTGAAGGAGTGCACCGGCGATTGGGGCTCGGCCCTTTGTTGCAAAAGCCACCCGACTGCCGGGGAAGTGATACGAAACAGCGGTGCTTGCCGTGTATTTCCAAAGCGCTCCCATGCTTGACGTCATGGCACCCTCTTATCGATGAAGGAAATCAAAAGCCATGATGTCTTGTTCTGACAAACGGCGAGAGGGTCAGCAGGCCGTAGGAGACGTGGACGGAATTCGCGAGTAGAGTACCAGAGAATGACGGTCGTGGGCTGCAGACAAGCTTTGGAAGGGATGAGCGATGGTTCCAGACCATCAGGTACCCAGGCACAACCAAAATTGAGTTCGAGCTGCTGATCCTTCCCCGGGTTCCTGAATCCTGTCACAAGAGATCGAGGGCAGGGGATCGAAGTCAGGGGCAGCTTTTCTCGGGGTTTAAGTCCAGATCAGGACGGGATCTGCTGCGGCTGATTGGTCCCCTTATGTCAGCAGCCCAACGACATGTTGGCTCTGAGAGTGTTTGACTTTGTATCCGGACAATTAATGATTAGGACCAGATGGCAGTCATCCAGGTTGCCCCAAAGTCAGCGGGTCGACCGTCACGATCCCTTCGCTGACGAATTCGACTGCCCGCGTGGCTGGCTTCGCTGGCTTTCATTCTCTTGTTGCCTTGAGTTGCCATCTCTAAGGGCCACTCAGCCAAGAGGGACCTCGGAACTCTCAGTCAGAACAAAAGCCCAATTACTAATATTCATCCCCCAAAAAACAAACCCAGTAGTCCTATGCCCGTCGTCAGCGCTGTCCTAATTCTGGATAAATAGCCTGGCTCAAAGCTCAAAGGGCAGCACAATGTCTCCTTGTCCTCCTGTACAGGTGGAGTGTCCTTGGACGACAATGCCTATTGTCCCATCTCGCACGTTGCTGTCCGAGACTGGCCTTCAGTTACCTTATATCCAGCCCGTCACCTGTGTAATTACGCTCCCAGCGCCTCGGAGGCGATGACTAGCCGCTGGTGGAAGATCGACGATCCTGTGCCGTCTAACAATGTGCCCCTCTCTGTGTCTTTTTTTTTGTCAGTCGCCCAGCTTTGTCGTCGAACAACAGACAACAATAGATTGTGACAATAGCCACCTTTGTCCATTATTCCAATGCCCGATTTTACATTGCAGCCGTAAGTCTTTTTTTAATTCTCTCCGCAGTTGCGCGGTGGAAGAGGCGCAATTGAAAATCCAGCATCACCCACCCAGCACTCGCTCTTCTAACCTGCATCACCAGACACTTGAGAAGCTCCAATAACAGATTGCTTAGCACACATACACAAACACCACATCTACTCCGAACTCTCTGTGACACGATATCTCAACAAAGAGAGAGTACGGTATGAGTAGCTCCGCTTATAAGCGTACGGTGGTGTGTCGTGTTTGTGGGCACGGCAAATTGGAGATTATGGATGCCCAGGGGCAGAAGGTGAGTCGGAACATTTTCCCTTTCAACTCGAATCAAATTGAGCTTCTTGAAGGGACTGAGTGCAGGGCGGGAAAGTGTGACGAATGCACGGAATCTAGGCGCAGCAGGAGGAGCAGACCTTCACCTCTGCTCAGTCCGAGCCTGGCTTCTCCTCGGCCACGAAAGGTCACTAGAGACCGCGGCTTGAGCGTGTGGGTCCCAGGAGCCCACAGGAGCCCGACAGGTAGGTACCTTAGTCCACCTCCGCGTACACCGACGCCGCTCTCACGCTGTGAGCATCATGGAAGGGTAGATACAAGGCATGTTGACATGACATGCGACAGATGCACGGTCATCTTCCTTGAGGAAAGCACGGTCCCGCCCAGATCCGACCTGGTGAAGGGCCATTCTGTTCCGGCGTATTGCTCGACGTCCTATGCCTTCGCTGCCGAAGGCAAGTGCTCCTGCCGGCCCCTGCACAACGTCTTCTGTTCCCCTTGTAAGGCAAGGGCTCAGATCTCGTCGGAGACAGCGGGCCACACCGGGAGCACTTGGGATTGGGTTTGAGCCTGCAGGTCCTAATCTGGTGGCCCAGGTGAGTGGTAGGTAAGTTTCCATGCCTGCTGGTTTTGCATGGAATTCGGTGCAGGTCATAGACTCGTGGTTGCGTTCACTAGCAATCATTCATTTAAATATATGTGCTTGCACAACTAGTACTGACGTATTGTCATTTTCACAAAGTAAGCTCCAATCAAAAGGTCCTAAGAAACGACAACTATCGTGATCAACAAAGCTCGTGTCCTGCTGCACCAGTGCCTTTGACTAGACCCTGAAGGTTGGGATGTCTCCGCTCTTGAGCCCGACTACGAACCGGCGCTCATGAAATCGCTCGTGTGGGTTTCGTAGTTACAGTTTACCTAACACCAGGCCTGGTGCATGACAAGGAGAATATGGTACCACATCCCCAGTATGCTCTTACACGGGGCATCTGAGAAATATTCTCATGGACGAAGGCATCTTTGATGCATCGACAGTTGGTTGCCCGTGGGTCCCGAACAAGATCGTGAAATTTAGGGGACCAATGCAAACGAGTGGATTGGTACGACAGCACGCTATTGACTGCAGGCTTGTGTGGCTGGGTACCCCACTCCAGGAAGCTTAGAGAATCAGGTAGCCGGTACTTGATCGGGACGCTGAATTCCGCCCCCCCTGGTAAAGAAGATATAATAATTTTTCCAGGAACGGTTAGCGGTCCTACAATCAAGCCATCGGCGCCTTAGCAGGAACAATAAATATATTATAGAATTTTATTACGCGCTTGCTTAATGCTATCTATGCATTATGTACATCTTAAAGCATAGCAGCGCTATATGCGCTTCCTTGCTTAATTAATAAATTAAATATATAATTTTATATATTTAATTTACTAATTAAATAAGGAAGCATATATAACGCTGCTATAACTTTAAATATTAATAAATAAAGTATATATATTATTTTAATATTTAAACTATATATAATAAAATACTAATTAATTACTTATATTTACTGCCCTTATTATATTTAACTTAATTATATTTAAATTTTATAATAATAGCCTTTTTATAAAAAGTTAATATAACTTATAAGCTCTTTTTATAATTATAAATTTTATTAATATTATTATATTTAATAATTAAAATAATCTTTAAAAGTTTATTACTTATTATATTTATAAAAATAGCTTTAATATATATTATTAATATAAGCAATAATTAAAAAATTATAATAAAAGATTTATTATTTATTATATATATAGCTTTATTAATTATAATTAAAAAAATAATAATATTATAAGAAAGTATAATTATATATAATTAGTAATAATATTAAAGGGTAATAATAAAATATAGCATTTTAAGTTAATTTATAATAATTATAAGGGCTATATCTTTAATAAGCAAGATATACTTAACTTATTATATAATTATTAGCTAATTTATATACTTAATATTATAAAATAAATTTACTTTCTTACTTATTTTTAAAAGCTATCTTATAATAATATTGCTATAATAATTTAAAATAAAATTAAAAGATTATATAACCTTAATAATATTATATATATATATTAAAAAAAGTTAAAGAAATATAATATATTAAGTTTATTATTATATAATTCTTTATTATTAAACTTAAGCAAAAATAAAACGTTAATAATATAATTATTAAGATTAATTATAAAATACTTAATAATAAAATATTATAATTAAAAAGGATACTTTAAATATATAAGTAATGCTTAAAGCAATAAAAAGCCAACCTAAAAGTTTTATTTATTAATAATACTTATAAGGTTAATTAATTTAATATACTTCTTTATTAAATTACTAATATAATATCCATTAATACTAATTATAGTATAGCATTTTATTTACT